CACGCCCCCAGCTCGATCAGGAAACTAAATCCCTATTTGAGGAAGAACTAGCTAAACGCATATCTGAATCGACAGCTGTGCTCACCCTGGAGAAGCCTGGAAGAATATTCAGTCAGCTATAGATACAGCTGTAAAAGCTGTGAATAAGACAAATCCAAAGGTGAGTAAAAACCACTGGATTTCGACTGCCTCATCCGAACTGATAGATGCTAGAAGACTTATTCCGGCGAGCTCCGAATTCAATGAGGAGCGAAAGCTGCACAAAAGGAAACTTACTAAAAGTCTCCGCAAGGACCGTGAACAGTGGTGGGTGACAAAGGCGAAAGAGATGGAAAAAGCATTGGCGATAGGCAACACTAGGCAACTCTTTAGACTCATCACAGAATCGGGCGGGAAAAGGCAATTCATAAGTGAGACTATTTCTGAGAAAAATGGCTCCTTAATTAGCTCTCAGGATAGACGCCTTGAACGCTGGAAAGAACACTTTGAGGAACAATTTAACTTGCCTACAGCCACACTGAACCTCCCCGCCATCCACCACGTACCCGAATGGGATATAGACACTGGTCCGCCGTCTGTAGGTGAGGTTACAAAAGCTATCAGTAATTTGAAACGAGGCAAAGCGGCAGGACCCGACGGAATTATTCCGGAGGTGTTTAAATATGGGGGTGACATACTAGTTTGTAGATTAACTGAGGTACTAGGCAAAGTCTGGGAATCAGAGACAGTACCATCAGACTGGGGTAAGTCACTCATTATACCGATATTCAAGAAGGGAAACAAGTCCTCGTGTGATAATCATAGGGGGATCAGCCTAACGAACATAGTCTCTAAAATCCTAGGCTCAGTAATCATGCATAGACTAAGCAGAACTCGGGAGGAACAGACAAGGGAAAATCAAGCAGGCTTTAGACCAGGTAGAGGGTGCATAGATCATATCTTCACTCTTCGACAGATTCTAGAACATAGACACACTTTTCGGCGTCCAACAATTGTCATATTTCTTGACTTGAAGGCGGCCTTCGACTCCGTGGACCGAAAAGTACTATGGCAATGTCTGACTGTGAAGGGAGTGCCAAGAAAGTACATTGCACTAATCAAGGCACTCTATTCAAACTCACGTAGTCGTGTAAGGGCTTATGGGGAATTGTCATCTGAATTGGTAACAACCAGTGGTGTCCGACAGGGATGTCCACTTTCCCCATTTCTGTTTAACTTCATCATAGATATGCTAATGGAAGTATCCTTAACTGAACGTAGTGACTTAGGAATCGACTTGTTACCAGGGAATAATCTAATGGACTTAGAATATGCAGATGACATAGTCCTGTTAGGGGAGGATGCTGACAAAATGCAGAGTCTTCTGAACACCTTGAGCAGCAATCTTCGTATGTTTGGCATGCGATTCGCCCCTGCAAAATGTAAGATGCTGCTACAGGACTGGACGACGTCAACCCCTAACTTAGTGATAGGGAGTGAAGTGATAGAACATGTTGACCACTTCACCTACTTGGGAAGTTGTATTAGCACCAACGGACTGATTGGCGATGAAATCTCAGCACGGATCCGAAAAGCTCGAGCTGCTTTCGCTGACTTACACCATCTCTGGCGTAGGCGTGACATCCGGTTATCAACCAAGGGACGTGTGTACTGCTCATCAGTTCGCTCCGTCCTTCTCTATGGCTCTGAAACATGGCCAATACGCGTTGAAGACATGAAAAGGTTGACTGCTTTCGATCATAGATGTCTGCGATCTCTGTCTCACGTTAGGTGGTTTCACAAGATAAGTAATGTTGACGTTAGGCGTAGAGTGTTGGGCAAAGAGGGAAAATCAATCGACGAGGTTATAAAGTTACATAGACTAAGATGGCTAGGTCACGTGGTGCGCATGCCTAACCACCGCCTCCCCCGACGGGCATTGTTAGCTGATATAGGTTCAGGTTGGAAAAGAGCCAGTGGTGGCCAAACAAAAACATGGCATCAATCCATGAAATCCTTGACAGTTAAACTGAGTCAGGTAGGGAGATGCAGACTCCCGGGTTGGGGCCCTCGGGACTCTAGGAATCAATGGCTGGAGACAATAGGTGACATGGCTCAAAATCGTTGTCAATGGCGCAGATGTATTCAGTCTCTGTAATCTTTCATATTCCTTTCTACCATTACCCATTCTGTTTCACTCTTATATTTGTCAAACTCTATTGATTCTCTTCACTCATCTTCTTGTCTACCTCTGTGTGCTATTTGGAACGTGGCAACTCGAACTGCTGCACTTCGGTGCCAAGTTCTATGTTGAATCCAGACAGACAGACAGACATTTGGTTTCTGCTTGTTTGTTTCGTTCATTGCTAGAGATCTCTGTTGATGATCTTTTCTGACCACTTCATCCTGAATATTGAGCGAAGACAGTTAACTATTGATGGTGAAAGTCTGTAGTTTGTTCGAAGTGCCCTTCGTGACGCGCTGGGTAAGTCTCTTATCCATAGAGTAGCACTGACTTTACATTGGAGTTAAAAAATAAGCGTCTTATTTTTCATGCTGAGTTCTGTTGACCTCCATACAGACTTGAGTTATGAAAGCTTGCCTTCTTTTCCCGATATCCACTTTGATATCCTCATCAGTTCCATCCGCCTGTAGTTAAAACGATGCTTACCAGGTAGGGTAGGTAAAGGAGGTTGCTTCTTCCAGACATCTCCCATTTATGCTGATTGTTGTCTGTTGTTGTTGTTGTTGCTGTTGGTGTTGGCCAGGAATCTTCATCACCTCTATTTTCTCTATGTTCACCTGGAGGCCTATCCTGTCTGGATGCTTCTTCTGTCGACTTGTTGCCTTTCTATTTTTTTCTGCCGTCCTCTTCATTTGAATCCAGCAATCGCCCATAATCTCTCATCTCCTCACACGATCTCCCCTATATCACCTTCGCACCGAAGACCCACTCATCGCCACCCATTTGGATGCCACTGTAGGGCCTCTTCAGCATATGCCCGATCTATCACCCTTTTCGCCTACATATTTGTTGAGCAATCGGCTCTATCTGTCTGTCTGTCTGTTTTCAACATAGAACTTTGCATTGCATCAGTTCGAGTCGCCACACTTCACGTAGCACACAAAGCAAGAGAAGAAAGTACAAAGAAATGCATAATCGAGACAGTAAACAGAGATATACGGCAAAAAGAACAGTAATATCGAAGAACAATATAGTTTTATTGGGTATTATAAGTCACAAGTAGTGGATGCATCTGCGCCATTGTGAATGATGAGTTTGAGCCATATCACCGATTGTCTCCAATCTTCATTGGTGTTTACCACCGTCCCGCGGACCCCAACCACTCAGGAAATCCACACCTTCCTACGTGGTTGAAATCAATATCAGAGAATCGGCGTTTCAAAAGCACATTGTGAAACAAAATGTGATATGAAATACCACTGGACACGTATTAGTGGTAGACTCAAATAGCAGTTACACGGCAGAATTTGGCAGCGGAACCATTTATTTGGAGAAATGACGTACAGATATGCTAAATGACTCTAATTTTACGTTGGAATTTACATTTATACATGTTCTCTAAGTATTGTGCTTCTTTGGTCTAACTGACTCCAGCGCTTCAGGGATAAGGTTGTTACCAGGAGATAACCTCGTTGAATATGCAGATAATATGTTCCTTTTAGGTAAGGACGCTGAGAAAACTCAGTGTCTCCTGAACACCTCGAAGAACAGCAATCTTCTAATATTTGGCATGAGATTCGCTCCTCCTGTCAAATGTAAGATGATGCTACAGGACTGGACTGGACTGCATCGACTCACTCCTAGCTTGAAGATAGAGAGTGAAGTGGGTTGGTGAAGCGTGTTGATCACTTCACTGATTTGAAAAGCTTCATCAGCCTCAGCGGATGTATCGCTGACAAAATCTCAGCACGGATTCAGAAGGCTCATGTGGTATATGCTCGCCAACTTACTCCATCTCTGACTTAGTAGATATCCGGCTGTCGACCAAAGAACGTGTATACTGCATGCACTTCAGGAGTTTTCTCCGTCCTCCTTTATATCTGTGAGCGTAAGATGACCATTGAAAGCGGATGACATGTCTGTCTCACTGCGTTCTATCTCCCATGTTAGTGACAAAGCAGGGAGAGTAATATTGAGGTTAGAAAATAGCTAGCCGTGGCCAAACTAAAAAATTGCATCAATCAATAAAATCCGTAACAGCTAGTTTAAGCCAGTTAGACATATAAGGAGGTGCAGACTGCCTGATTGGTTGGGGTCCTGTGGACATTAGGAACCAATGAAGGTTATTAGGGAATTGGTAATATAGCTCAGAATCCTTCTCAATGGCTGGCGCAGATGCATTTAGTCTTTGTAATAAAACTTTTGACTTCATATTAATATTCTTTTTCCCTCACTCACACTCTCGCTTTACTCTCTTCTCTTGCTCTGTGTGCTACATGGAGGCGGGGCGGTGGCAACTTGAAGTGCTGAACATCTGTGCAAAATTCTATATTGAAACCAGTCAGTCGGATTCTTTGAAAACCCTGTAATTCCTCACTCGACAGTTGTTTCATCCTAGTTTGGAGCTCTTCACTTCAACAATTCGTACTCAGTGGGATTTTTATCTCAGAACCTCCTGGTTACAAAGCGAGTCGCCAACATACGATTCAGTGGTCCCAGGAATTCCAACCTCTACTGATTCGCGATGCATATACCACAATCGCATCAAAAAATGTCAGTTATAGTGTTCCCTTTTTAGCTGAGTTTTCACACCTCAATAAAGCTACATCTTCAGGTAACTGCCTGTATAAAGTCAGCCGTACCAAACTAGGATGAAATAGCTGTCCGATACTCTCACCTGGTTTTCCAGTAATTCTCTAGCTCATGTCAGTTCACAATCAAGCCTGTAATCGACCAATCAAATCTCTACAAACTAACACTTGAAAATCGGTACTATTCCATTTCGTTATTGTTATCTGTTAATCAACAATTTTTTTTATTTTTTGTTTGTATTTAGTTACCTCCAGAAGAATTGGCTGCACGATTAACTCTGGATGATTATGAAGTATTTCGTGCAGTTCAGTCAACTGAGTATATTGATGAGGTGTTTGGATTGAGTAGTAATGCTTGCATGGATAATATGCCGCCGCCTTCCTCCATTACTTCTAATAGTAGTGCTACTAATACTACTAATAATAATAACAGTAGTACTAGTGGAACTTCAATGTCTGGAAGTGGAAGCAGTATCGGTGGCGGCGGTAGCTGTGGATATGCTACTGGACATGAAAATCTAGATCGTTTCACTGATCTTGTGAATCGTGAAGCCTATTGGGCACCTACAGAGATATGTAATGAAAGTAATTTAAATCGACGTGTTGATTTATTGAAACGTTTTATTAAGGTAAGTAGGCGTGTTACAACATCGTGAATAATTTTTTTTGGATTATAGCTTGACTCCACACCGGATTTTTATTTGTTACAAGTATGGATTTTCAGCATGTGATATCGGTAGCCCAATTTTTCAGGCAGACCAATTGATATCGGTGTGTGTTGGCAGGGGATCGGACCCCGAACCACGTGTGCTTGGTCGGCGAGAGTCAGAGACGCACATTGATATGTGGTGACCATGAAGATGAAGGTAGTCTATTGGATGGATGGATGGATAGACTTAACTCTGTGCAGAATCATATAAGTTTTAAATTCAAGGAAAAAAAAAGTTGCAACCAACTTGCATTTTTAGACATAGATATCTGATTTGGAGAGACGATGGTTCAATAAAGCGATCAATTGACTGGAAGCCTACTTGGGGTGGGGGTGGGGGGGTACAGGGGGCAATATTTCAGTTTTCACAGCTTTCTATCTACTGCAGTATATGAGAGGGGCTTGGTGAAATGTGTTGATTCAAAAGGATACAGCGTATTTGTACAGCTGATGTTACAGAGGATGAAACTGAAATACTGATGGATGATAGATAGCCTTGTTGAAAACGCCGGTGTTGAAGTCAGTTAGCTTTGAAAACTACAGTCAATTCTGTCCTTAAGAAATATTTTTTCTCCTTCCCATTCCCCAGTCAAACATAGGACCCCAAGCTAGTGGCTTGAAGTTTCTGTAGCAGTGTTTAACTTTACGGGATGGGGTTGCCGGCCACCTCATGCCCACCCAACCTTTACTCTTTACCATCACTATTTCCGGCTTAGCGAGGTAAAGGAGTGTCTCGTCAGTGGCCGGGGATCGAACCCCGGACCATGTGTGGCGTGGTCGGCGACCATCCTAGCCGCTGTGCCACCGACGCACAAAACCAGGGAGTACGTGACGGCTGATTCCTCCTAGTTTTGGAGTCATCGGCAATATGCACCCACTGGGGTTCGGATCCAGAACCTTCCGGGTTCCAAGGCTAGCTCCTATGCCATTTAAATGCTTTCATTAAACTACCATACAATGGGGAAATAAATAGTAGACTTTTTAAAGACAATAATGCTTGAGTTTATTAAGTGCTTGCCTTTTTATGCTTGTGTAGACCAGAACTGCCACAGTCCATGAAGCATCGGTGTGTTATAGGATGTGTGTAACCAAGTTCTATTCACTTGCTGTACGTTGGTAAATTATAGGCATCGGAGAACCTCATAGTTTGTGTGAAGGCTAGAATACATCTGAAACGCCTCGATCAACTGATCCAGAAAGCGGTGTAACAACCTTATGAGCACGTTCGCATAGTTTTCGGGTGATGAAAATAGATTTATATGCCGTTCGGTGCTTTCGGATTCTGGAGTCTATGTATACCATAAGTTTGGAATTAGAGTTTTCCAGCTGCTCCCCCCCAACCTCCTGGGTAGACCAACATGTCCATCAGTTCAGTTGTAAGCGCTAGATTTGCGTACTGGCTGTTTCACTTTCGTCAGGCACACCCCTGCCTCATGAAGGCAGTCAAAATAACGTGTAACCGGTCATACAAGAACATTACAGTCCTATAGGCCATTTAGTATGCAAATGTCTTGTTCAGGCATTGAATCATGTTTATTCCATTGGATGCTGTTCTGGTTACAAGGCAAGCTTGTAGACCATTTAGCCGCTGGGACGCCGATCCAATAACCAGCCCATGAATTCCAACTTCTCCCGACCGAAAGCTGCTACCTTGACGTGGTGGTCGGGCTTGAACACCGCAATGACCTAATCAAGCTATACTGGCTGAGACTTATGTCTCTTGAGGTTCTACCATGCCAGGCAGGTTGTTTGGATAGCGGTTAAACAAAAAGCAGCTACCCAATCCAACATCATGTCCAATACAAAATTACAAAATTTCATGCCGGATCGGCCGTGGCCCGGATTAACAACGACCGCGCTTCCTGCTGCCGTGTCACAGGGCGGGAGTGATAAATCTGCTACTGAGACACACCAAACAAAAAAGAACGAACAAAAACAGGCCGCGTGTGACCGGCCTCAAGCAGTTGTCCCCTGGGCTCTGCGGTCACGCAACCAACTTCCACGGTGTGGGCAGCCGGGAAGTAACAATCGCCCTCACAATCCGAAATGCACACGAAACCTCTCTATTACTCACTCATCTTTGTCTTCATCTTCATCTCTATCATCTTGCCTTCCTTCCACTGATGCAACTCCTCGACTTGATAGCTCTCCACTTCCTCTCCACTCTGCGTCCACTAAAAACGATGGAAGCCAAAAAACCACCACCGACAGCCTCTTAAAGCCGCGCCACCAATTTCATATAGGAGCTCTTAATGTTAGGACACTTTGCCAAATAGGACAACAAGCATCACTAGCCAAGACCCTGGCATCACGAGCCATTGATGTATGCTGTGTTTCAGAAACACGCATACAAGACCCAAGTGTGGTTATTCACCTAACCCCACCTGGCCAACAGGTTGAATCTGCAAAATTCACCTTGAGGGTGTCAGGAGATGCCACAGCTAGTTCACGAGGATTAGCTGGCGTAGGGATAGCTTTGAGTACTAGGGCAGAAAAGACATTGCTTGACTGGATCCCGGTAGATAGCCGAATGTGTGCTGTCCGCCTGAACGGATCAGTAAGAAGGAGGAAGGACTGCACTACTCGCCGATGCCTTTTCGTAATCTCCGCCTACGCCCCCACTGACTGCAGTTCAGATGAAACGAAGGATGAGTTCTACCAAAAGCTGTCTAGTTTGGTGGAAAGGCTAAACGCTCAGACATAGTCGTTCTAGCTGGTGACTTTAACGCTCAAGTAGGGAAATTGTGTCAATCTGAGAAGGATGTCGGTGGCACCTATGGAGTTCCGTGCCAGCGAACCGACAACGGTGACCGTCTCCTACAGTTCTGCTCTGATAATCATTTGTTTCTTGTAAGCACTAACTTTAAACACAAGGAGAGACACTGTTTGACTTGGAGACCCCCTTCATCAAACCAACGCTGGACACAAATAGACCACATAGCAATAAGCTATCGTTGGCGTGGGTCGGTAGGAGATTGTCGCTCCTTCTGGAACACGTGCGTAGATACCGACCATGCACTGGTCCGCGCTCGGGTGTGCTTACGACTGAACGGACGTAGGAAACAGCTGGCGGTAAAACCATCACGTCCCCAGCTCGATCAGGAAACTAAATCCGTATTTGAGGAAGAACTAGCTAAACACATATCTGTGTTCGACAGCTGTGCTCACCCTGAAGAAGCTTGGAAAAATATCCAGGCAGCCATAGATACAGCTGTAAAAGCTGTGAATAAGGTAAACCCAAAGGTGAGTAAAAACCACTGGATCTCCACCGCCTCATCCGAACTGATAGATGCTAGAAGACTTATTCCGGCGAGCTCCGAATTCAATGAGGAGCGAAAGCTGCACAAGAGGAAACTTACGAAAAGTCTCCGCAAGGACCGTGAACAGTGGTGGGCGACAAAAGCCAAAGAGATGGAGAAAGCTTGAGGATAGGCAACACCAGGCAACTCTTTGGACTCATCAGGGAAACGGGTGGGAGAAGACAAATCATTAGTGAGACAATCTCGGAAAAAAATGGCACTATAATTAGCTCCAGGATAGACGACTGGATCGTTGGAAAGAGCATTATGAGGAGCAGTTTAATTTGCCCACAGCCACGCTCAACCTTCCGAGCATCCAACACCTCCCTGAATGGGATATAGACACAGGTCCTCCGTCACTAACTGAGGTTACTAAAGCTGTCACCAATCTGAAACTAGGCAAAGCAGCGGGACCTGATGGAATGACGCCAGAGGTATTTAAGTACGGTGGAGACAGCTTACTGTCCGGATTAACTGAGGTACTAGGCAGCGTCTGGGAATCAGAAGAAGTCCCATCGGGTTGGTGTAAGTCACTGATTATCCCCATATACAAGAAGGGAGACAAGTCTTCCTGTGATAATCACAGAGGGATTAGCTTGACTAATATAGTATCTAAAGTCTTAGGCTCAATAATCATGCGTAGACTGAGTGGTGCTCGGGAAGCACAAACACGAGAGAGCCAGGCAGGCTTTAGACCAGGAAGAGGGTGTATTGATCATATCTTCACCCTCCGACAGATTCTAGAACATAGGCATTCCTACCGGCGTCCAACAGTCATTATATTTCTTGACCTAAAGGCAGCATTCGACTCTGTCGATCGGGAAGTTCTCTGGAGATGCTTGGCTGTAAAGGGAATTCCAAGAAAATATATTGCACTGATTAAGGCACTCTATTCGTACTCATACAGCCAGGTGAGGGCTTACGGCGAGCTGTCATCTGAACTGATGACGACCAGTGGTGTCCGTCAAGGATGCCCATTATCTCCTTTTCTATTCAACTTCATCATAGATGTGTTAATGGACTTAACCCTAGGTGACTTCAGCGATTCAGGGATTGACTTGCTACCGGGGAATAATCTCGTTGACTTGGAATATGCAGACGATATAGTCCTTCTAGGCGAAGACGCTGACGAAATGCAGAGTCTTCTAAACACCTTGAGCCGCAATCTACGAATGTTTGGCATGCGATTCGCTCCCGCCAAATGCAAGATGATGTTACAGGACTGGACTACATCGACGCCTAGTTTAAAAATAGGAAGTGAAGTGGTAGAGCACGTTGACCGCTTCACTTATTTGGGAAGTACCATCAGCCCCAACGGGCTGATCTCTGACGAAATCTCAGCACGAATACAAGGGGCTCGTTTCGCATTTGTTAGTTTACGCCGACTCTGGCGTAGACGAGATGTTCGACTATCGACCAAAGGGCGGGTGTACTGCTCATCAGTCCGCTCCGTCCTCCTTTATGGTTGTGAGACCTGGCCACTGAGAGTGGAAGACATGAAAAGACTAGCTGTCTTTGATCATAGGTGCCTGCGTTCTATTTCCCGTGTAAAGTGGCATAATAAGGTGAGCAACATGGAGGTTAGGCGTAGAGTTCTAGGTAAACAGGGGAAATCAATCGACGAAGTCGTGAAGCTACAAAGACTGAGATGGTTAGGACATGTGTTACGTATGCCAAGCCATCGCCTCCCTCGACGAGCAATGTTAGCGGATATAGGGTCAGGCTGGAAAAAAGCTAGCGGCGGTCAAACAAAAACTTGGCATCAGTCAATGAAATCCACAACAGTTGGTCTAAGCCACGTAGGAAGGTGTAGACTTCCAGGCTGGGGTCCTCGGGACGGTAAAAATCTATGGTTGGAAACAATTGGTGACATGGCTCAAAATCGTTCTCAGTGGCGCAGATGCATCCACTCCCTGTGACTTATGATCTTCAATGAAACTGTTTTGTATTTCTTTATTACTCCTTTGTCTCACACCTCTGCTCACTGTTTCTATTATGCTTTTCTTGTACTTTCTTCTCTTGCTTCGCGTGCTACACGGAATGTGGCGACTTGAACTTCCGCACATTTGTGCAAAGTTCTATGTCGAAAACAGACAGACATTTTACAACATAGCTCGACTAGCATCAGCCATTGTCATTTGCGGCGGGTATTTGTCTTCACACTCGACATGCTTTCTAATATTTCTCTAAAGGAAAGCTTTTCTTCTCTCTGGCATAACGTCCTAACCAAACCAAGCTGTTGAAGTTTAGGTATTGACCAATCCAAGTTGTGTTTTTTTGTGGCGAATTCTCCTTTCTATTGTTCTATCTCTTGTTTTCTCTTCTTACATAACTCTGGGGAATATAGTTGGTTATTAACTTTCTACTCCACTGTGAACTTGATATTTGTGAATGAACATTGTAGGTAGGCATTCGGTAGGCAGTAATTCTTCATGGTAACTAGTATTACCACATATGACAAATGTATATCATCTACATTGCCTTGAATATGCCTCGGTGGCTTAGAGGTTGAATACTAACCAACCACTCAAATGGTCCGAGGTTTGATTCTCTGCTGGCATAGCCGATAAAGAGGATAGATTAGATGTAAGGCTAGCGACCCCATCCCGTGAAAAATAACACTGCTACTGAAGCTTCGTAGCTCCTTACTTGAAGGTATACGCTCCACTGTGAACAAAAAAAAAATAAACATTACGTTGATTAAAACGTACTTGTTGTCATGGCAGACAGATTTCAAGGTAATTAGTGGATGATGATGACTAGCAATTGGAATCCAGGATAACGCGCATTTCGTCCCATTCGGGACTCGTCAACCCGACGTGCCCGCATCCCACAGTGAGTCATGATGTTCTCACCGAGGCTTGAACCCCAGTGGCAATAGTTTCAAACGCCAAAGCGTTATCCACTAAATCAGTTGGGCCTCTTGTGCAGTGGGTATAACTTATTACTTTATTCGGTTTGGGCGACATCGAAGTATCCCCGCAAAAGAAGCCGACAGACATGTCAACCTGAGACCTAGCTAGCACTTCAGTCCAATCAATCAATCAATCGACAGGAAAATTTAAACTTGAATTAAATAATTAATATCACCGGTTGCGAAAGAGGTAATGGCTCTCGCGGCCCAAGTGGTCTAGTGGATAACGCGCTTTGGTGGTGCCTCGGTGGGAACATCATCACCACTCACTGCGAAATGCAGGTACATCTTGATGACGAGTCCCAAATGGGACGAAATGCGCGTTATCCTGGATTCCAAGCACTGCTAGTCACCATCTACCAATTAACTTCGAATTACATGCCCGAGAAATCGTCGAAGTATCTGAACAAAAAGTCGACAGACATGTCAACCTGAGATCGAGCACTTCGGTTCAATCATTGACGGGAAAATCTAAAATTGAAGCACTAGTAGTATTTTATAGATGCGACATGAAGATATCAGCCATTATTATTGCTGTTGTTACTGTCGTTGTTGTTGTTGTTGTTTTCAGCTATGTGTTCTGGTATGAAAATGAAATCGATACAAAGTGAATTTTTTTTCTTACTAAAAGAGGAAGGTTGGTTATGTGTATCCATATTACACGTTTTTGGGGTGATAGTGTTCACACATACACACACACACACACACATAGAGAGAGAGAGACAGTAATTCTTTTCTCTCCCATACTATCGAAATATAATAATCTTCGTATCTTTTATTTTTTTTTATTTTACTCTCTTTCTAGTTGGCTAAATTATGTCGGGAATTACGTAATTTCAATACAATGTTTTGTCTACTAGTCGGATTACACCAGACATGTGTTGAACGATTAAAACAGACATGGGAACGTCTACCAAGTAAATATCAAAAAATCTATCGTGATTTGAGTGTAAGTTTGCCTTCTTCTTCTTCTTGTCCTTTTTTTAATGTTGATAATAATTATATTACGTAATCCGTCTACTTTTATACTTACATTCAGTTTCTGTTTTGTTCACATAAATGTATTATACATCCTGTCGGCGAGTCTTGAGGTTTAAATGAAGAAATTCAATAAGTTAAGATTTGATAGTGTGAAATATTCCCATATCGCATGAATTAAAAGTCAATCTGAACGAAAAATATTATTTTCAATGCATCCTTCTCCACTTCAGGTTCTTACAATTATAAAATATAATATTTGTGGTCATTACAATAATGATAGCCAGTTATCCGGCGGATACATTTTTCAACGTAGAATAACAGATTAGTAGTTATGGGGTGTCAAAATAAAAAATTTTTTTAAAAAAAACTTCCTACTCTGCACGTCTGTGTCTATCCTTCAGTAGCCGGCCAATATTCTCTCAGCAACTCAAAGATGTCTGACCTAACCTTAGCTCTTCTTCATGTATATACCATTTCAACTGTTCCCGTGGTTCAACTTATATAGGGCACACGATTGGACAGGTTCGTCTACGGGTTCGATAACATTTATCAGCTTGGTTCAGCAGGGAGGGGAAATTAAGTGCATAAAAAGCTCGATCAATTCACAATGGGTCGATACTGGACATCGGATCGATGTCAACACAGCTTTCAGGGTTATATACTGAATTCCGAAGTCGTTATCACGTACAGTTAGTTCGCTTACGTCTCCTACACATAGCTGAAGCTGTTGCAATAAGATCGACTAAACCGGAACTTTGTATCCCAAAAATGAGAACACGTCCAGACGCTGTTCCTACCGTGGCCAAACTTGGATTGATGATTCTTCTTCTCACTAAGAGTGCTCCTTCCCCTTAACTCTCTTGGTTTTTTTTCCTTTGCTTATTATTACAATTATTATTATTCATCATAATTTATGCCTTTCATGCAATTGGTGACATGGCTCAAAATCGTTCTCAGTGGCTAACGCAGATGCATCCACTCCTTGTGACTTATGATCTCCAATGCAACTGTTTTGTTTTTCTTTATTACTCCTTTGTCTCACCCCTCTGCTCACTGTTTCTATTATGCTTTTCTTGTACTTTCTTCTCTTGCTTCGCGTGCTACACGGAGTGTGGCGACTTGAACTGGTGCAGATTTGTGCAAAGTTCTATGTCGAAAACAGACAGACAGACAGATGCCTTTCATGCAAACATTCCCTCAATACTATCCGGACTTATTATTATTGATATTATCTCTTTTCTCAATATATGCCTCCACCTGTTTCATTTCACATATTCGTTATTTCATTATGAACCTCTCATTGCAGTCCTACTTTCTCCTGTTTAACACAGACCACTTTGTACTAGCCACTCACTCGCTCACCGGACAGTTTTTATAACCTTGAACTGATTTGTCGATTTTCCCACCCCACACTCTACAAATCCATTATGATTAATCATCACCACTTTCTCCCGTTTTACAATATTTTGTAATCGATTTCAGCCCAGAGCACCTTTGTCACACAAATACGACTATTTATTTTGACACACCATAAGTACTAATCTGTTATTCTACGCTGAAAAATGTATCCACCACATAACTACCTGGCTATCATTATTGTAACGACAACAAATATTCCATTTTTTATAATTATAAGAACCTGAAGAGAAATTATTGAACAAGTTAACTTCAAATGGGAGTAGCGCTTGCTAACCAGCTTCACTACGACTTAAACACTGGATGTCTATTTCTCCTGTGGGTAGAAGAGCTTATCAACTACGAGAGATCTGAATCACTACTCCAAGTTAACCAGAATTCTACCTGGCTAGTTAGTTAGTTAGCTGCAACTACTCACATATCAACCAATCAGTAGTATGTGTAGTTAAAACGATTATTCATGCTTTCTTGATTACTATTTATAGTATGACACATCATGATTTGACATCGGTTAGCGAGAACCATTGGAAATCCCGTTGAAAGCTTTGGACAGGCGTTTGTTCCTAGTTTGGGACTCTTCATCAGTATGTACCCACACTGTGCGGGGTTCGAATTCAGGACCTTCCGGTTACTAGACTAGCGAGCTCGTAGACCATTAAGCCACTGGTCACCCGATCCAATGACCATTGCATGAATTCCAAATTCTTCCAAGTCACGCATGATATAGCGTGGCGAGTATTTGTCCTCACACACGACCTGATGTGCCTCAGTGGGCATGACTTCTCACTATTTATAGTGTCAAGTAGGTCATCAACTTTCAGTTATCGTTGGATAGTCTGCCCGAACGTGTGTTTTACAACAAGTGGATGCATGGTACAACTAATGCAGTCTCAGCTCCACAGGAGGAAATGAATTGGTATGCACATGTATATTGATGTAGCCGACAGTGATAGCTTGTCTTACACGGGTTAGTTAAATAGTTATTAGGAAGTAAAGATTTGTCCGTTGATTGGCAACAAATCATTTTTTTATTGTGAAGGATTTTGAAAGCTGTTTTCAAAGAATTTCGGTCTCAGTATGACTTTTAAATTCGAGACTTGGCAGCAAAATCACGAGGGTTCAAGGAATATGAAAGATCGTAAAGATTGAATGCATTTGCGCCATTGTAAATGATTTTGATGCCAATCACCAATACTCTCAAGTCATTGGTTCTTCGCATCCCAAGGATCTGAGCTGGTTAGTTTACACCTCCCCTAGGTGGTGGCTCAAGTCAACTATCAAAGACTAGATAGATTGATAGCAGTTTTCGGCGGTGTGACTACTTCTAACTCTTTCTTCTCTAACCTAATCGTATATCAACTAACATTGTTCGTCGAGGAAGGCGATTGACTTGCCCTCCTTATCTATCGAGCACTCTACACAGCCTAACCTCAATATCATTCATGATTTTACATCAAGGTTGTGTGGCTCTTTATCAACAGATTCATTGGTGTTTATATTTTGTGATCCTTAAGGAAAGAGAATCGATGAGATTCCTCCCTTACTGCTTACAGAAGCATATAGAACTTTGTCCATTCCATGTAGGTATTTCTGTCCACTTGAGAATATGTAACGTCAGATTCAACTTCTCTAGAATGAAGTGGGTCTTTAGGGTAGGCTAGTTTGCCACCCTGATTCATAGGCAAACACTTGAAATCAAAAACCAGCAAAAGTGAACAAGGAGAATTTTAACTGAAACTTTTTGGCCCAAGAAAAAAAAGAGTGGAAAAATGACTAAAAAAGGGGAATTATGATGAAACAGCTTACACTCTCAACACTTAATCATAATGACCTTTTTAACAAAACTGTAATAAGAAGAACAGAAAAATAAATGTTTGTCCTAAATTCTGCCCACTCCCCCCCATCTCCAAACACGTTACGAAATGCCACCCAGGAATTATTGGTTACATAATACCAAGTTGACGTTCTGAATTATTTGATGAGGATAAATATGATAAGCGAACAAACGACCTCAAGCTTCCTGAAGTGGAATGTGATGGTATCGTTTAACGCCTTACAAAAGGAGAATGATGCTCAGGAAGGCTTCGTGTGCCTTTGGAAGTGTGTGGGCGGTTGTTACTTCCCCGGCTGCCCACACCACTGTAGAAGTTGATTGATTCTTCGGCTACCTGAAACACAAAGACGGGTAGTGTTGCGTGACCGCAGAGCAGAATCCAGGTGACAACTGCTTGAGGCCAACCGGTCACACGCTGCCTGTGTGATTTGGTTTCCGAGATTGGTTTCGTATTAGTAAACTAACCACCGGTTACGGACCACCGTAGGTGGGGTAAGTTGGGATGTACAATTGTTGGAGTCGACCTTTTCTAACTCCCTCTCTCCTGAGTGGAGAGACAGCATAGCTGGCTGGCACGCTGGTCGTCTGAGGAAAACACCTCACAGCTGTTACACCCCTGTTCTCCAGACTTCGCCCACAGACCCCCCAGCATAGTGTAAGAAAGATTCTTACACAATCCCGGTAACTGCTTTTAGTCTAATCGCTATCCTAACAACCTTCCTGCCATGGTAGGACCTGCAGGAACAATATTTCAGCCAGTGCAGCTTGTTAGGTCATCGCGATGTGCAAGCTTGACCACCACCACGTCAAGGTAGCAGTTATCGTTTGGGTCATACAAACTCAAAGATCACCAGACAAAAACTAAGTTGGCAGAAGTAACTCGTACAGAAGATAAGGATGATGAAGACATCTGGTCCACAACAACAACGAAAACCATAAACAGGAGAAATCCGATAGAAGTCACAGCATCGTTTCAAATACAGGCGGAGTGGATGGGATATAAAAACCAAAGTCGAAAAGGCAATTCAGACTTTCATCACTCTAAAATCAGTTTGGAAATCGTCGGCACCCAGAATAAAGAACAAAATCCAGATTTTCAACACCAATGTTAAGTCATTCAGTTCTTCTATATCGGTCAGAAACTTGGCGTGTTTCGTCAAGAAAAGCATTTTCAACAACTGGCTGCTAACTTTTTTATAAACAGCTCTCATCTCTGACTCTATATTGAAAATCGATTGATGAGAATGAACTACTAACAAGAATCTCTGGGGATGAACCAACCAAGAACCTCTTATAGCTCAACAAATATCCCCAAGAAAATTGAGATGGATCCAACCACATGCTAAGGAAGTCATTGTGTGCCATCTGGTGGCGCCAGGCTGTCGAGTAGAACCCCACTGGGAAACAGTGAGTTGGACGTGGGTCCGAGTTTGACATTAAGACCGTGTGTGCAGGAGGTGAAGGCCTATGGGCAATCGTAGGGTCAGCTGAAGAAGACTGTAAAGGGCAGAAAGAAATGGATATGTACTGCTGAAACCCTATGTCCCACTCGGAACCGAAATGGAATAATGATATAACCAGACAATATCAAGCTCTCTGGAGTGCGAAGAAGTATGTCGGTGTTTAACGTCACGAACTTGATTTATGTGTAGTTAGTGTTTGCTTACTTTACTTATCAGTTAGTTACGTGGCGTTTTGTTTCCATCTGATTATATCAT